AACTAAGCCCCCCAACCCTTACTGTTCGGATCGGAAGATAATTCCCCGCCCCCACCCGCTCGCAAAAACAAAACATGGGTTGTAGGGTTGTATGGTTGGATATGTACATAGGGGGGGGGGGCATCTTGTATTACGGGCAAGGATTACTGTTGATGCTAAAGACGCTTACTAGACTAGACTTTGAAATAGGTGCTAGAGATAAGCCCCAACCCCTTTTTTTGCAAGGACTTTGGGCCTTGGGCGTGTGGAGTTTAGAAAAAGCCCAAAACTTCGGCCTAAACCCTAAACAACCTAAACCAACACCTTGACCCTAACTACATGACATGCTAGTTGCCATGTTGTTTTCCACTCCGTTGGTCCCCTAAGAGCCTTACATCCTGAATAACAGGGTATGTTCCAATGTCTTTTCCATTCCTTCAGCTCCCAGTAAGGCCCCCTAGAACAATAAAAAGCACCCAAGCTGCACTCCTACACCCCAAGCACTTATGCGGGCAGTACCAAAATTAGGGTCCCATTTTGGAACCCCTAAGTATTAGGTGTCGAAATGTAATCTATAACCCAAATGGGCCCAGAATTTTGAGAACAACCCACATACCGAAAGCTCCCGACCGCAGTCTCGAACGCTCAGAATTTAGGGTAAGAATCGCTCAGATATTGAAATGTTGACATGAGTCCTGGGATCACTCTTCAAATTTCCCGCTACAGCATCGGTAAGATTCCTGATGAGTGTCCATAAAGTCCATCTATAAGCCTTAATTATGTATCCCGTGGGGGTCGCCAAGGTATCACTGCTCTGCAAACATCCCGTATCCCACGCCCGAAGGACAATAGGTCTGAAACCAATCGCTGGGACCATGCAATGCAAATGTGGGTGGGCTTATATATGTAGTGATGCGCACATTGAACTCACTCAACACCCCAATCCTAAACCCTAAACTCCAAACCCTAAACCATATACCCTAAACCTGCAGCGTTGACACCTCGGCCTTCTGGACTCTTTGGTGCCAACCGGTGCGCAGGACATTGCTCGGCGATTGCAGGGGATCGAGGGCTTAGGGGTTATAGTCCCCCTTAAGTAGATAGAATACAACGTTTAGGGTTTAGGGTTCAGGGTATAGCCCCCTAAAGTAGATAGAATATGGGGTATACGGGGATCTTACTATAATATGCCCAAAGCCATATTCTATCTACTTGAGGGGGACTATAGCTTCATAGCTTGAGTTCGCTCAGGGTCCCTATGACTGGTTCCTTCTTGAGATAGGATTTCGAAAAAGAGACACGAAACAAGTTCAAACAATCATCCAGTCGAAGGGTCCTCAAGGGATGACAAACAAGCTTGATAGGCAATGAAGGAATGGAAAGGAAGAGATTACCCGATAAACCTCTGCGTCTGGGATCTTAGTGTCTTGAAGATTCGGCGATGCCGCAAGCCTCTGGACCTTAATGTTTGAAAGTAGGTCCCCAAACATATTCTGATAGACGTGTGACTAGTTTTGAGCCTTTGGAGGTTGGAGGCCGTGAGGGGTGGAATGTCAACGTCGTGGTAGCTGATATCCTATAGCCGTCTATGCCCCCATAGACCCATAAAACCCCCAGGGTTTTGGATTAACTCCCCATGCATCGAAAGAGCTTGGAGATGTGCGAGGGACGGCGCCGGAGATTGCTCACAATCATTGAATCCCATCGCGTATATGCCATACATAAGTTGGGCACGGCCCCCCCGTATCAGTGAGCAATGGGCTCTTTCTGAATAATAGGCTGTTTATGACTTAGGGGCCATGCGCAATTGCCATATGACTACTATCTAGCTGTGACCGGGTGGGGGTAAGAACGCAGATCCACAAGTTTCAATTGGCGACTTAGTGCGGAGCCCCAAACCGTAAACTGCCAAATATTCGTTAGTTTCCCAATGTACGAAGACTAATGCTATAATCCTTAGTAGAGGGTCCCGGAAAAGGTACCCCTAATTTTGGGAACCCCCTTATATGACAGAAGTTCCAAGGAGCCCACGTCCAAGTTTTTCACTCGCTGCAAAACCCTGTAGTTCTGACATTTTGGCACATGTGGCGGGTATAGCCCCCAGCAGTAATAGTAACAGTTCCATGATCGGGTTAATGGCAGGGGCCTGCACATATCAATAGTATAACTACTATCCAACTGTTGCTGAGTGGAGCAATATCCGGCACATACACCTTGCCCCTGTAGAACTTTCATAGGCGATCTACAAGCATCCGGGCACTACAGCAAGCTTCACAACTCCTTTTTCAGCCGGTCTGCGCACTCAGCGCTGAAATCTAGACCAAAACCCCCCGTCTGAGACGTGGCTGTCTGAGCCGTACTGTTGCTGGATGAAATCCTGCCTGACGCTGTTACCTCAAGCCTCGGGCATTCGCGAATGTCTTACACTTTGTGTCAGGCAGGACTTCGTACTACAAGCACACCACATGGGCATGTGAGCTGGATCATAGATGCTGACTTTGTGGGGGCCTTGGGCTTCCCGAAGTCACAATTTCAAGACCCCAAACCCTAAACCCTATATAACCCATTATTATAATAGTTTCCATTTTCTTTTCCATTAACTCCTACATAACCCCTATATAACCATTAGTTTCCATTTTCTTTTCCATTAACCCCTACATAACCCCCATGGCTCATACAGTTTCCCTGCCTCTCCTGCCTTCCTCGAGGCAGGGTTTGCTGTCACCTGCGACTTCCGAACTGGGAGCTTTGGAGTTTAAGGGTTTAGGGGGGGATATAGGGGTATAATGTAAAGGTTACATAGGGGTAATGGAAACTAAAATACAAACTACTATTTAGGGTTTAGGGGTTTAGGGTTTAAGGGTTTAGGGATTTAGGGTTTAGAGTTTAAGGCTTTTCATTTTAGGGCTTAGGGAACCCAAAATAAATTGTGAACTCAGGACCCCTTCGCACTAATGTAGAATCCCATATTCCCCTGTAAGAAACTCATACATATATATATATATATTTTTGGGGGGGACATCTTTGATATTTTCGGTGGGGGCTTAGTATCAGTATGAAGGGCTTTGGAAGGATTCTGATGCATTACCTCGGGGTGGGGCACCCTGGGCAATCGCCATATTCAGAAACTGCGAAGTAAACAAAAAATAAAGGGCATGAGCATGGCTCATAGTTCTTATCATACATATGTTCAGCTGCAAATCACAACCATCCTGGTCGGTTTTCTTCTGCTTTGCTAGACATATCTTGTATGTAACCTGCAAATCAAGCCCCTAAGCCCCAAAAAAACATACACCCCTAAACGCACTGAACTTCGAAATCATTGCCTCCTAGCAGGTAACCGTTCTCATCGGATGATGATGACCAAGTTGCCAGCGGCTCCTGAGTGTTTGGAAAGACTTGGGAACCTTTGCTTTGGGGCCTTGATTTGGGAACTTTTGCTTAGGGCTTAGGGGCCTTCGGAAGATACCAAAGTGTTGTTAGTGGAGTACTGTCCTTCTGCGTTTAGAGAGAGAGAGAGAGAGAGAGAGAGAGAAAGCGTCTCTCTTAAGGAATATAGTGAAATTGAAGAAGCTCCCATTTTGGTGTCTCTCAAAAATAGGGTGTGTCGGGTCTGGCGTTGGCATTTTGAAATGTTAGGCTGCTGATTTGCAGGCATGTAGTGAGATTGTGCAGGAATTCTACCGCAATGTTCAGTGGAGCTATGCCCTCAAAGCGATCTCAACGTCGATTTCGATCGTGCGGGAGTCGCGGGGTGCGGGAGGTTGGTCAAGGCAAAGGAAGGTCCTATTCTGCTGAGGAATGGGCTCCCTGTTCATGCCTAAGACAGGCTGTCTGGACAACAGGCTCCCTTCTGCAATTTCATCAGCTCCCTCTGTTTCTGGTTCATAACAGACTTCGATTGCGCGGAAGCACCCAAGCTCGCGGAATCTGTCCTTGCTCTGGTCACCATTCTCCATGAGAGCGATGAATTCTATTTGACAACTTGGTGTTCTCATGGAGTATACGCTTGTTGGCTTAGTGGGCTTGGGCTGCTAAAACCAATCACGACAATGATGGCATCTGTTCTGTGCCATTCTTCAGCTTGGCTGTTCGTCGTCTTGGTTTTGCGCCAGTACTGTTGCGAGTGTTTTGCCCGGTCAATATTTCTAAGGAGGCGCACGGCTGCGAGAGGAGTGAGGACGTGTGATCATGCAGAGCAACGAATCCCGGAGCCTTGGATCTTGGAGCTGGCACCCTGTTGAATCTTTCTCTGCCATGCTGGGTAAGCTTGGGAAAAGACTCGGTCAGTTCAGATGGAGCCATAACTGCCAGCGCTACCAGCATGCTACTTCGCCTGACTGCCAGCTACTCTTCTGCAGTTTGACAGGAAAAATCATCGTAGTTCTTCTGCTGCCAGCAAATGCCCGCCTCTGCGGGCAAGGCCCCCTGTACACATACCAATGTGCGGAAGGCAAACTTCCTGCAGCGAGATGAACTTAAATGGGTCTGCAAGGCATAAGCCAGTTGCAGAAAGCTGTTTGCAACATCCTCATGCAACTCTTTGAGTTGTGATGCTGCTGCACATCTATGCTCAAGAAACTATGGGATGGGCGTCGCAACTGCAGGTGTCCAGTGCACGTGCTCCAGACTCTAGACTCTCGATTCCTCATCTTGCTTAGCCACTAACCCGAGCTTCCAGAGCCGCAAGCAAAAACAAGTTGTGAAAATCCCAGCCTCTTAGGCTTATGAGGATCCACAACCGCTAAAGAAATCTACGGAAATGCTCCTTTCGGAGCCTTGGTCTTGTCCCAAGATCTAGAAATTGTTCTACGCATCCTATGGATCACCTTTGAAGCGTCTCAACTTGACTTCTGGTGGCGACCCCCCGTTTAGCTCTCTAGCAGTTCCCATCCATGACTGTTGTATGGCATTGTGTCTTTCTAGAATAGAAGCCAAATCAGCAGATTTTATGCAGCCAGCTGCCAGCCGGCAGCTCTGGAGGTATCATCACTCTCAGTAAAAAGAGGAGAAAGACCTCTTCATCGTTGCCTGCACAAGTAGCCGCTGCGTAAGTGAGGAAACTCGAACCGCGTGAGCAGCAAGGATACGTGTTGTCCACGACATATCTTGCAACAATTAAGCATTGCCGTGAACTTAAGACCACATCCCCCAAACACAAAACAGTGTCTACATGTTATACCTGTGCCCAGAATGTGGGGCCCAAAATGGTGAGAACTCCCAGGCCTGTCACTGCCTGGGCTGGGCCAGTCGATAGCCGGCGCTGGCGAGGCGCAGAGAGATACTTCTTCTCCCCAGCCATCATGCGCAGCTCTCCTTTCCAGTGGATTCCTGATCCAGTGCGGATTTCTCATAATTCTGAATGCCTTTTTGGAAGGGTTGGGGTTTGCAGAGCATGATCCGGGAGGAATTTGGGCAAATGCACAAGCTGCACTGCACTGCAGCTACAAAAAATTCCCTTATACATCAAAGAGCCTGACTGACCCGTGGGGTCATTGCGCCCTTCGTGCACCTTACTATGCTACGCTTGTAGAACTCCTATCCCTCAGAGAAGAACTTCATGTCAAACATGGCTCACATTGAGTTTTTTGCTTTTGATTAACGATCCATATAAACAAAGAGTAAACCCAATTTGGATATATGGGCGGGGGGCCGGATTAGTGCTTTTGAAATTGACACATGAGCCGTATGTTTCTCATATTTCCACATTGTTCTGACAGAATCTCTACCCCAGACCTGGGGAAGCGTAAGTCTGCAAGCACGAAAACAGACATACACACACAATAATCGATTACAAGGAGCCCCAACCCCTTCAACCCCAAATTCTGAAACCCTAAAACCCTGAGCGCCTGAATCCTAGAAACCCTAAACCCTAAATGGTAGTTTCCATTTTCTTTTCCATTATCCCAATGAGATATTCGAAGAAATTCCCAGGGGCCGGAACATCAAGGAGTTCTCGGTGCCCTGCCGTGGCCAGGCCTTAGCTTTTCCTTTTAAAGGAAATGCATGTCTAACGGATTAAGGCTAAGGGTTTAGGATTTGCGGTTTTGATTCAGGGGCCACAGGGTGTAGCATTTTGGGGCTTCATTGTGGCTTTAGGGCATTCGGATTCAGGACACAGAGTTTAGCAAAACGACAGCAAACGGAAGCTGCCATATTCACAGTCCTTCTGTTTGGCAGTCGGAACGGAAAACTACTATCTGACGTTCAGGTTCTGGTGTTCAGGTCTGGTATGTACATGAAACGGCTTGGCAGGAGTGGAGAAGAAAATGGAAACACCTATTAGGGTTTAGGGTTTAGGGTTACGGATTTATACACGGGACTATTATCTTTTCCTCGGCTTCCCTGATTTTGTTGGGGGGGTGGGGGGGGGTGCTATAAGCAACGGATATGAAGATTCAACCCTCACATTAAGGTATGTTGATATATACTGGTACAAGGTAATGCAAGGAAGCAGCCACAAGGGAAAACCAAGTAATTGGGACTACCATGAGGTAGGACAAGCTTCCTTTCTTGCTTTGTGGGTTGATGAGTATGTAATGGAAGAGAAGACAGATACTGCTGTATAAGATAGGGTATAACACAGGCCGAGGGGTCCCTTTTTCATACAGGGTGGTTTCGGTAGGGAACCGTGGAAAAAGGAACTACTGCGTGAAACAGTTAGATTCAACAAATTATGTCGGACAATTGTTCGAGTTTAGGGCTCGATGGAATTGATTGCGGGCTGTATATGGTTCCCGACTATTCTCGGAAATTATTTCAGTTGGAATGGAGCAGAACATGTAAAGATTATATGCATATACTTTAGGGGTTGCAGTTGAGGGTTGGGGTTGAGCAGGGAATAAGGAGTGGACCAGAAAAACTGACAGCTGGTGCATTGGGAGATTGCCATAACACCTAGTCAATACAGGGATCTGTGCCTCCATTCATTACTGACCACTTAGGGTTTAGGGTTCAGCAGCTTAGCGTTTAAGATCAGGGGTCAAGATTAGGGTTCAGGGCTCAGGGCTAAGGGACTAGGAATTGGAATTTGGGGTCCTGAGGCGAACAGCAGCGGCCATACTATCTCTAAGTACATCGACTGTCAAAACCGGTTCTCTTCAGGTGCCCCTGCACGATTACTGCTTGTGTAGAAGGATATCCCAGGCCCTCCTCTTCATAAACGTTCATCCACATATATTTGAAGCCTTGATGATCTTGCTCTTGTTTATTGTTACAGCTGCTGACTACTTCGTCTGCACAGACGCCGGCTGTCAGCTCTGCTTCTGCTACTGCACTTGTGCTACTGTGGCCAGCGCCATTCCAATTTGTAGTACTCGTCCAAACGTGAACTTACTTGACTAATTACAAGAGCTATTCTCCGAACAGCTGCTACTGTACTTGTATCGGTGCTTCTCATGCTGGAATCTTTCCATAGTTCTAGTCTGCGACAACTTGACGTGAAATTCAGATACCAAACTCGTACTACAACTACCTCAATAGTAGTTTGCATTTTCTTTTCCACTATCCCAATAAATCTTATATGACCCTACATCACCCTAAACCCAAAAATCCTAAACCCCATTGTAATTCACCGCATGGTTTCTGCCTGAAGTGTAGGTCGACTCTGCTCCCAAAATCTACTTACAATTTCGTCAGCTGAAAATAAAGGCATGGAAAAGAAAATGGAAACTACTATGATGGGCTATACTATAAAGTACGATAATGGGCTATACTATAAGGAACTACCATCATGGGTCATTTTATAAGGATCCATCCTTCATTCCTAGCTAAGCAAAGGTGAGAAAACCTAAGGCGCAGCCTAGATGCTGCTCGCCGAATGCGATCGTTGGGAGTGGCTCCACGGCACTCGGCCCAAGGACCGCTAGGCGTGGCACCCTTCACCGGGATCGTAGGCATCCTGGATCTTTGCTATTGTTGAGTCTTACCCTGGTAACTTCAAAATGAAGGGGCCTGTGCGCCCCAGGCACGAGCCGCTTGCCGCGCGGGCTGGCTGGCACACCTTGCACCAAGTTCGGCAATCCCGGCACGGGATCGAATCCTCGGCTTTTTGGGGAAGTCTCACGGGTGCTCAAGACAGGCTAAAGGCCATCACGGCCGTCTTGCATCAGAGAAGTCTGTGGCTTGGTGGTCTACTGCCCTCATTCACAGCTCTCAGGCCGCCACGAGTTATCGAGGGCGCCGTGGTAGGCCGCATGAAGGTTCCTACTTCACCAGGGACATGTCAGCAAATTTTGCATTTCTACTACGTACTTTCTGCTGACCCTGAGAGCATCCTGACAGCATGCAGGAGCACCCTGCGATGCCACCTAGGAGTATCTCAGACTGCCTTGCATTCGCCGCCTTCCGAAACAAGATTCATTCATCGTCCACTGCAGCCAGAAAGCTGACACCAGCAACTGTACCAAAAGACATCCCTGCAAACCCTGCAAACCCTGCGTCCTGTCGTGGTGAACTTGTGGAAGATGGCCTTCGCAGAGCGCGGCGGCTCGGCCGCCCAGCTGCGTGGGGGTCCCTCCGGGGTCTCCGCTTCCCGGGAGCTGCTTGCCATGGCAGATGAAAGAGAGTGCCTGGCAAGGAAAGCTTTCCGTCGAACTGAAGTATTCTAGGAGAGCTTTGCAACATGCAACCTGCATGTTTTGGGGGTCCTGGCTAGTGCTAGCGCGACTGAAGCCAACGTGCTTCAGCACACAAATCCGACAACTGCCTATGGAATGATGTGCCAACTGATGAGGCAATGTCGTCTGCTTTTGCCAGCATTACAGCAGCGTGTCATCGCAATGATTTCCTGCAGCAGCTGCGGGGACAGCAGGCTTTTTTGTAGATGCCGCGCTTCTGCAGCACCATTAACCCTTGGAGGCCACCAGCTCTTCTGGTCGTCCAACCTACAATAACTGGATGGTCTTCTAAGGCCCGTAAAGAATTTAAATTGCATGATCTGCTTTGCAGATGATACCTGACTATGCAATCGAAAACTTTGCGCCGAAAGACCCACTCTTTGAGTGCGTCTGTCAGCAAGATGCATGCTGATCCGCAGTATGATCAGCAGCGGTTGATAAGCGCAGACCGTTTAAACATGCACAAGAGAGTAAAGTGGCAGGACCCTTTCGCGCTGCAGGACGCGCGCGCAGGATGTGTCTACCCATTCGTTGAAATTTGTCTTTGCAAGGCAAATGACAAATGCAACCAAGCCATCACCTCCCACACCAAAGGACTCCATTGGGTTGGCAGCAACCCAAATCCCCCCGGCTGCATGAGCTCCTTTGATGCAGCGTTGAGGATCAAAGCCGTGCTCCGCAATGGATTGAAGCTTGTGGGCTAGACTTGCTTCCTCGTCAGCTCGCTTCAGCCTCGTTCCGTGCCAGACCACATCCTCCCGAAATTTTGGGCCTCCTCCCGAGTCCAGCTCAACATCGAGGTACTCAAGGCCCAACATCTTGTTTTCAATGCGCTGGACAACAACACCTCCCAAAGCTTCTCGGAGGTCCACTCCAGGGGGTCGGCGCAGCCGAGCCGCACCTCCACTCTGCAAATACAGAGAAATCACTGCTTCAGCCTCAGCTGAATTGCTTGGTAAGAGGACCGTCCCTGCAATATCGTCTCCCAGCTCCGGGAGCCTCTGCAGAATTCCCTGGATCAGCGGATTTTGGGTGCTGACCCGACGCGAGCGCGAAGCTGAGCGCGCACGTTCGGGAGAAGGACTTGCACATCGAAAGTTCGGGCTGTTGCCATCAGAAGCCACGAGGTGGTAGTGAATGGTATAGGCCAGCAGAAACTGACCTGCATCTTCCATGTCAAACTCAACCGAATCCTTGGCTCGATCTGTTGCGCCGCCCAACCTCGTCGCGGCAACAGGCGGCCCGCAAAACAGAACGCACATTGTCCGTGTGTCCAAGTGCGCCCCAGGGTGATCATCACAGTGGTCTCGTGGCATCTCCAACTGACGCTCAATTGCCAAGGCGCAATCGGACGTCACGCTGATTGGACTCGCGCTACTTGTCTGAAAGCCCTCGGAACAGATTGTATTCAAATGATGCACGTCCTTTGGAGTGAAAAACGCCACGCCACAGTCATTAGCATTGTCTGCTCCTCCTGTTCTCTGCAGGAACTTGCCAAACGTGTCTGGGCTCACCACGCGTTCAATCCGTTGAATCTTGGCTACAGAGCGGGGTACAGCCTCGCAGAATAGTTGAGCGACTCGCCATTTATCGGAAGCTCCGGGTGGCTCCATGCCATGCTCCAAAGCATGCATAGCCGTGGAGGTCCTCTCCTGAAGTGTCGGCGACAAGTTGCGGCGACGGTCGGCCGATGGGCTGCGCAGCCGCCTTGAAGCGTTGAAGCTGCTGAAAGACTTGCCTCCTACAGGGAAATGATGGGAAATGCTTCTGCGGACCTCACATGAGCCTCCTAGTATCCGCCTTAAGAAACCCTACAATCGTCCCCTGTATGATCACCTAGAACCCGCTGTAAGGAGTTTAGACTCTTAGCTCACATTGACGCAAACAGAGCTTTCTCTGGCTGCAGCAGGTTGTCCTTCTGGCGAGGAAGGTTCAGCGTTCGGCTCGGAACCCGCGGGGCATCGCTTCGCTGACGAATACTTCCGATGTCCTGCAGATCCACACTTCTGAACTTGTATGCGGGGAAGGCTCCAAAGAATAATCTGAGGCGCCCCATCCTGGATCATGCGGTTCAGCAGAAGGTTCTTGTGAGTGACTGTGCCGGCTTATGCGCGAGAAGCTGCCACTGTGGTGTCCTCTGAATCAAACAAGACAGGAATTACTGTCAGATGCACTGAGAAGGGCAGGAATTTTGAAATCTGATGCCAATCAGCATGGTGCTGGCGTCGTCAGAATGCGGGTCGCGAAGCTCCGATTGTAAACATGACCTATCCCAGCCGCTCCTCGCATAGACTCCACAGCTGTCGGGGACTTTGGAATTTGAAGCGATTTGGTTGCACCCGCCCGTTTGTGCACGGCTTGCGACGGGCATCCAAGTCCTGAACCGTCTGCAAAGACATGCAGGCTTGCAAGCTCCAGGCAATAACATGCCGAAGTCCCTTGAACTATATCCTGTTGCTGCAGGGGTACTCCCCAGAACCCTGTCAGAAAGCTGGGCCTCCGTGAGTGGGGGAGTCTGGTACCGATTTACGACTGGAATTTGAGAAGGTCACACTCCTTGGCCAGCAAAGCTCATCAGAAGCGCATCTTCTGAAAAAGCAGCACTGCGCGAAGCACCCAGGGCTCGGGCTTGTGATGTGAGCTTGAAGGCGAATCCAAAGCACCTTCAGCAGCCGATCTTTTTTGTACAAGCACCAGGATAAAGTCCGTCGCCACTACTTTTCGTTGCTGTTTTTTCACTGTAAAGTAGGTCAATACTCAAAGTCGATGCTAAGGCCACACTCGCCGGCGGGTGAAGTCAATCGGCATGTTTTTCAGAATCAACTTTGAAGGGCCTTGGACTGTCAATACGGTTGCACATGGTTGTAAGGGGCCGTCTTTTCTTGTACACCTGCACAACACCAACAATCTATAACAATACATGATGCCAATCCAGTGTCAACCCATCATGAAGAACATGCTATAGAAGCTTCCATGTTCTTTTCCACTATTTTCATATGACCCCTATATATTCCCTATCCCATATAATCCCCAGTATAGTAGCTTCGATTTTCTTTTCCATTATCCCCATATAACACCTATATTTCCCTATCCTATATAGTCCGCATTATAGTAGCTTCCATGTTCTTTTCCATTATCCCTCAATAACCCCAACCCTAAACCCTAAACCCCAAACCCTAAACTACAATATGATATAGTAGCTTCCATTTTTTCCCTTATCCATCTGTTCATGAAGCCACAACATATTGGAAAAAAGGCGGCCTGACGGAGATCGGATGGAGGCCCGAGGCCTGGCTGCGGTTTAGGGTTTAGGGTACCCTAAACATTGGTTTCGCCCAGGGCAAATACTGTACATGTAACAACGTACTCTCTGCAGAGGAGAATCCCTCTTTTTCAAATCCGCCGAGGGCAGAATATTGGAGCAGCACTTTGGCTAGCACGTATTAAACCGAGATCTTTAAGATAGATTGTCAATCTACCGTCATAGCAGAAGCATGTGGGCAGTGCCTATTTCTTCCTCAGCTTCACTCTGGGTTGCAGCTGACTTTGCGCCACCTACTCCCATTGTCCCACTTTATCTCTGGAGGGCCTGTTGCCAAAGGTCCATCTAGCATTCCGCCTTGCCACACCCCGCGCAGCTCAGCTGGTCCGCCAAGGGGGCTCCAATCCACCCAAAACTGTCGCTGCACTCCAGCAATACGGAACACCAGCGGTGCTCCTTGAATATTTGTAGAGCGCAGCTCCCACTTTTGGCCCCCCTTGGTGCCAGTGATTACCGCTGTGCCGTCTCGGACAGTGATGTTGGCTTTCCCACCAAGCGATTCCGGGATGGTCCATGACCCATTGAACACTGAACCTTCACACATCTCGGCTGCAATGACCGGCTTTGGGGTAACTATGGCAGCAACATATCCCAACAGGGTCCGGCGATGCCAGACTTTGCGTGCCCTTCGCTGGCTGCAAGCAAGGGCCGCCAGGGACACAAGTACTGGCAAGCCTATAGAGCAGTTGGAATCACTTGAAGGTCTAGCTGGCCTTCCATGAGCTCGGGTTCTAACAGGGCTCCAAGCAGAAGATCTGGGGTGGAAGCTCTTTGCCACCTTCTCCTGCTGGAGCCCTACAAAGAGACCATCACTGCCAGCCAGCGAGATTGCAGTGAGAATACCCCACAACATCATGCTCAGAGGACGAAGCCCTGCAACTTGAGCCTAAGCAAAATTGACTTCCACAGGTCTCCACGTAAGGAAATCATAGCAACAACAGTTGCAGTTAGCTCCATTGCCCCCAAGGCCTGCCAACAGACTTGGAGCGCGAGCACGGCTTAGCCTCCACTTCCTGGCAAAGAGTACGACCACTGACCAAACTTGGCAGATCCTCTTTCCCAGAAGCATGCAGAAGGTTCAGCAGCAAAGCCAAAGCCCTCAAATCCAAACCCCTAAAACCCTCACTGGTAAAACCCCAAACCCTAAATCCTAACTTACTGGTTCTTAGTAGGGTCTATATAATATACTCCATATATAATATAACCCTTTGATACCTTTGTTACCTACTAAGAACCACTTAACCTCAACTCCTTTGGAGTCCAGGCCTCCGAAGCTCGAGACCTCGAGGGTGAGCGGCTGGTGCACCGAGCCCAGCGCCGTACCGGCCTGAGAGCCCAATGGAAACCTAGGGTTTATGTAGGGTTCTATATGGGGTTTGATAGGGTTCTATAGGGGGTAATATAGGGCTCTATAGGGGGTTATAGAAGGGGTTATAGAAGGGGTTATATTGGGGGTTATATAGGGTTATAGAAGGGAATATATAGGGTTCTATGGGGGGTTATATAGGGTTATATAGGGGTTATATAGGGTTATATAGGGATAATGGACAAGAACATGGAAATAGAAACTACTGCATAATATAACTACTATAATGGAGTATATAGGGATATATTACATAGGGGTTATATCAGCTGCAATCTGAGCTCCTTAAAGCGGGTTATATAGGGGATTTAGCGTTCAGGGTTTAGGGGATTATATAGGGGAGTATTATAGGGGTCATTCACTGGGATACCAGGAGTTTAGACTCTAGCTCATACACAGATAATGCAAAGAAAATGGACACCTGCATGGAAATATGGGAATATAATCCCGACAAGGAATAAGGGAATATATTGGGTTATATAGGGATACGATTATAACAGGGTAGATTATACATGGCCTCACAGCCCATGGCGTCGACTTCAGGGTTTAGGATCATAGGGTTTTAAGTTGGGCTTTTTAGGGTTTGTAGGGTTTTAGAGGATTTTATAGGGTTTTATAGGGGTTTTATAGGGTTTTATAATGTTTAGGGAGCCGGCGGCTTCGACTGCTGAACTGACAGGACCCGGGGACCTAATAACTTGTCTATAATAGGGTTTAGGGTTTATAGAGTTTAGGGTTTAGGGCTTAGGGTTTAGGGTTTAGGGTACCTATAGCCGATACAACCGACCATATTCGGGGACTTGGCGAGCTTCAGCTGCAAAGACCCCAAGATGGTTATCGATGGCTATCATTAAGATACGTATGCTTGTACCAAAAATCAAGTGGCTTAAAATTACCGTGAAATTAGTCTAAACTCCTACTATCCCCCTTAATCACCCGCCTATACATCACCCGCCTATGGTAGTCCCTATAGTATCCCCTACATAACCTCCCTTAAGGAGTTAGACTGTAACTCAAATGATCTGGAAACTCTACCAAAACTTGGAGCGCCGCGCAGCTGTTTCCTGTGAAGGGGCGAAGCTCTTTTCAGAATCAACAAGGAAGCTGTGAGCGTGAGAACTCCACCCTTCTGGCCCGGAGGCCCATGACCCCATGTTATCATTGGGACTATAACTGTTGTTATTACTATTACTATCACTATTACGATTTCTATTACTATTATGGCTACTATATGCAAAAGTCGTCTTATGATTACTATTATTATTACAGTCTTGTGCAACAAACTGTCGTCAATACAGGCTCTGCAGTTCGATGTGCAAGTTCTCACTTAGGCCAAGCACCCAGCCTCCTCATGCAGCTTTGTACAGTTCATCCTCGAGCCTACGCAGAAGTAATAGTAATAGGAACAGTAATAGCAATAGTAACAGTAATGGTAATGATAGTAGGAAAGTACTGAAGTGCTCACTCATCACCACAACATCTGACTTGATGCATCATGGCTCTGTGGCTGTTTCACCCCAGCATCGCCTCCCTGCAGATGGCGCCGACATGCACTGCGACTTGCTTGGTGCAACCATCCAAAGTGCCAGGAAAGCAATGCTACTGCTTGAAGCCACCAGTCTTGCATGTGTGCGCCATGAAGCCTGAAATTCATGGTGCATAGGCCAGGGGCAAGGTGAAACCCAGCCTCGAGTCACGTGAATCTGCCGCCGGGAGGGAGAAAAACCCTGACAGACTCATTGCTGAATTTCATTGCACCAAAGCGTGCGCCATTTACTAGATATGTGAGCGAGCCACTGTCAAAAAGGAATCAGCCAGTTGTTCTGTTGGCTCAAGAGCGCTAGGCATCAGAATTGACATTATTGAACGAATTGTCACAACTTCTCGCTGGATTTGGTAGTTTCTCTAGACAGGGGACCCCAATGCAACTCCAAAATACTATAATCCTGTAATCCTCATTATATATTAGGGGCCCCCCAAAAAAGGTACCCCTAGTTCCCCAAATAGTAGCTTCCGTTCTCTTTTCCATTCTAAATCCTATATAAACCCCATAGACCCCATATAACCCCCATATAAACCCCTATATTTTGGGAAGCTCCCATTTGTTGTGGGTGCCCTGCCTGATCGGAAGCAGGACTGTCCAACAAGGCTCTGTTGCTCCGTAGCTCCTTGGCATCTGAGTCATCTGGGAGCCTTCCTACGGTTTAGGGTTTAGAGTTTCTAGATCTTACTTGGGGTTAGTAGGGCATAAGGGAATATATTGGGGTTGTAGAGGGATAATGGAAGAGAAAATGGGAACTACTACATACTAGGGAATATATTGGGGTTGTAGTAGGGAATAAGGCAATGCCTTCTTTCGGGATTATATAGGGAATCTATTCCCTTATTCCCTACTTATCCCCAATATGCAAGCCCTCGCCGCAGTTTGGCGTTTAGGCTAAGATCCCCAGGTTGCCATTTTATAGGTTTGGTTAGCCCATAGAAACCCTAAATCATACACCCTAAGCCCTCATCAGTAGTTTCCATATTCTTTTCCATTATCCCAAAATACATATATATATATTATAACCCTTATATAGAAACCCTAAACCCTAAACCGCACTATAGGGCTTAGGGTTTGGGGTTCCAACCTGCAGTCCCGAAAACACCACATTATCGGGCTCCCACAGAGGGAGTGCTCGGTAGGCCGTCGGAAATCGCCGAACTCTGCCTGGGCCGGGGCGGATTGCAATCTCATCACGGGCTCAGGGTTCAGGGTTTGGGAGTTCTCCAAATCAATCCATCCATCATATGGGCGGTTCTGTAGCATGAGGGGTCGTACTAGTAATAATCATCGGGGGGAAGGAGCGGGTATGAGCGAGTATTGACGGACGCCCCAACTTGGGGATTTCCCAAAATTAGGAGCATTGTTGTGAGTCCCATAGAATTATAATACTTTTCGTCCAGATTGGGGTTCATCCCCGTATGTAGGCAAACTACCTATTCACACACCGCAGCAATGTAAGCAAGAATTTAAACTCCTAGTATCCCCCTGAATAACCCTATAGCAGTCCCCCATATAATCCCTTCTATAACCCCCCTTTGATTCCAGGTTGAAACCATGGGCCCCTAGTATGGGCCCTTAGCCCTGGGATCCTTAAATACCTCCTATATACCGCGTGTGTACCCTTAAGGGTGCCTAGAATCCCCCTAAAAGGGCTAAGGGCCCATATTAGGGGCCCACATTTCTAACCTTAGATTTAAGGAATTTAGACTACGGTTCATGTAGCTTTTGTTAACCAAGGCCAAGTCTGCACTCGTCAGGTACCGATGCGCGGAAGTTTCTCAAAATTAGCGATACTTTTTTGGCAAGGTACACATAATACATAAGGGTCATAGTCTAATAGTTCTAGCATACTGGGGTCTGTACTGGGATAAGATACGATCATGGGGGGTTGTCTTCAGGACCATAGACGAAACATTTTGAGAAACTCCTTCGGGAAAAACTGGGCAACGTGCACTTCGCGCACGTTTCAGGGGCCACCAGCAGCCACAATGCGAAGTACTGTTCACGGACCAAGGCTGCATGACCCCATACTACAATAGAAACCTTAAGAATTATGCGGTTTAGGGTTTAGGTTTTAGGGAGGGCTTTGGGGTCATGCAGGATTGAGTCCATCACCCGGAGCACTGTGCTTTACCTCGCAGTGGTCAAGGGGCCGAAGCATCCTGTGCAATTCACTGCCCGGGTAGCGTCTGGAGCCTTGGCTTACAAGCCGGCTCTCATGATATTAGGGGTAATATTGGGGTTATATGGGGGTTATATAGGGGTTATGTTGGGATATTATCCCCCTATAATGCAGAATCAGATGGAAAAGAAAATGGAAAATGAAATGGAAACTGGGTTATATTGGGGTTATAATATAGGGATAATAGAAAATACAATCGAGACTACTATATGAACTAAAGCGATAAACAAATCAACCAGAACGCTTCGCGAGTTGGCCAAGGAGCTGCTTCTGAAACCTCATGGGCAGCATGCCGCACTAGCTAGAGGCTGCTTCAGACCAGTCTGTGCAACAAGTAAGGTCCTTTGACCGTGTCATAACAGAGGAGTGGAGTACTATTGTGAAGACCTGATTCAACAGATTTCAAGATGCATTACTGGAATGGCTGGGGTCCCAGCTGTGCTTCAGAGATCCAGATGGCATGGAAGCCCAATGGCACCCGTCGTGGAACCAAGTATTCCACGACAGGCGTTGACGAGAAGGTCTTGGCCTTAAGCTGCGCAAGCCATGCCAACTTCACTGAAAGGATCAAAAGGCTGCAGCTGCATTCATGCTATATTGCCTGATTGCTGCTATTAGCCTCATCGAGGAGATCAGGCAAGATGCATCATAAACCGCAAATGTGGACTCCTGCGTCTTCTCATTGAACAACAAGGCCACCAGGTAACCATCGTCCTGCGCAGCGGAACAGGCTTCGAACGTTGCGAACAAGTCCCTTAGCCTTTACATCAAGAGCCCACCTCTCTGTAGCAAGGAGCAGAGTCTGTGGATCATATGACATTGACGTCCCCCTGTCCAGTCTTTGGATCATATGACATTGACGTCCCCCTGTCCTCTTCACCTGTACCATTGCGAGGTGCAAAGATGGGCTCGCCGCCCACAACCCCATCAGGATATTGAATCACCTTGGGACATGTGAGTCGCTCGCGGGGCTACATGTTTTGGATGATAGGAGAAACTGCGTCGCACGAGACATCTATTGCCTTTGCCACGCAATGTGCTAGGCGGCTGATCAGCCTGTGCATGACAGGTGGCCATGAGTAGACATAAGATTGCAGCAAGCAAAAACAAAGACCATGGCAACGGGTGACGGCCGTAAGCGCGCTTGCAAGTCCAAAAAAAAAACTCATCCAAAAGCACAACCAATGTTCTGCTAGACATGTCTGGTGGGTAGTCAGATCAACTTTGTTGCTCTGCCAAATCACACCATCCAACTTGCATTGCTCAAAGTCCCACTTCAGGATGCCACGGAAATTGAAGTCACCTTCGGTCACGGAACTGCTGCAACTTCTGGGATGCGAGCAAATCATCTTCCATCCCAGGACTGGATGTCTCAGGAGCAACCAAGCTGCATCCAGGCTTCTGCAGAGCAGAGAAACCATGGCGCACCTCGACTGACACAGCCATGTTGAAAGTGCTTTCCTAAGCCCTAAACATTCCTAAACCCTATATAATCCCATTAGAATAGTTTCCATTTTCTTTTCCATTCTCCCTATTAATAACCCCCTATATAACCCTGGACCCTAAATAGCGGTTTCCATTTTCTTTTCCATTATCCCAATATATCCCTATAATCCCTAACCCCAATAATTTCCCCTAGAGTCCCTTAACCCTGATTCTCTTGGTGTTAAAGCTGCGATCAGCAGACTCTCTTGCCAATCCGATCGTCGCGAATGCGAGGGAATTCGGTCATATGCTGGTCCGCTCCTTCCACCTTTTCAATCTTGACCTTCCGCACAGTTGGGGCTCTAGGATTTGGAGGAAGCGGTACAGAGTCCAGTGAACACCTCATGCAATCAAAGAACCTTCTTCGTGGAGAGGTCAATGACAGTCCGATGCATCTTTCCAGGACCTAGACCTCCCAAAATGCCATCCACAGCGCCTTCCTGAGAGAAAATATCTTCGGGGCGGAATCTGCATGCCCCCTTAGGCCAGTTGAAAACGCACTGCACCAATCAAGGGCTTCAATCCTCGTGGAACTCAACAGGTGACCACAAGATGATCTTCCCGTCTTCGTCGTAAGCATAGCAGGTGTGCACTATCCTAAGGCCAGCCAAATCCAAAGCAATTGTCCACTGTGTTGAAGCTTGGAAGGCAGGCACCCTATATAACCCCTATATATACTATAGTAGTTTCCATTTTATTTTCCATTATCCCTATATAAGCCCTATATATACTATAGTAGTTTCCATTTTATTTTCCATTATCCCTATATAACCCCTATATACATCTTGAACCCAGCATCTCAGCCGCTTCATCAGCTTCTATCCAGACCATGTTCTCCTTGGCGCAAGCGCAGCAACTCCACGCAAGACAAGGCACTCAGTGATTGAGCGTTTTTTCAGCTGATCCAGGGCATCGTGGTGAACAAGGATGTCTAGGATGTGTTTAAGAACATACCAAGCTGCTTCAGACAGCTTCTCAGAACGCGGATGAACGGCGAAGCGCAAGTTCCTCTCCTGGTCTTAAGGCACAAGCTCAGGCATCCTGATGAGTCGTGCTGGCAGCCACACAATACACCACCTGTTACACGCATTTGATTCGCCATCGAGTGAACTATAAGCATGTGCTCCCTGACACACAGCCAATCCGGCTAGTGCAAGCTGCTGCAAACTTGCTGATCATCGTCCTGGCCTGGTCGAAGTTCCAGAGCGGCAGTCCTTTCACGATTCCTTTCGGAGTGAAGCGCGTAGAGCCATCCACAAGGACCATGTAGTTCTCTGTGATGAACATGTCGTGGTGGAATCCCTGTACTTTCATATCCACATCCAGCTGGTCAATCAACTTACCTTCCAGAAAGACGGCAACACACGGAGAGAATGAATTATTTGCTGGGTCCACTATAAGAGCAGTGACTGGTCCTACCACATCCAACTCGGGTGCGCATGCATGTCGCCCAGAAGACGAACGAGAGGATTCTACCGTAGAACTGCAAACAACAGGCGAGGTTGCCGTTGCATATGCGGCCCGCCCAGAACTGGTTCTGCGACAGATTTCGCCCGTGAAAGAACGTCTCGCCGGTTCGCATGTCGAACTTGGGATGTGCCTGGGCCCGTGGAGAAGCGCTAGTTGAACCTTCTGGATGCTTGCCCAGCATAGCATCACTTCCCATATTCTATCTACCTAAGGGGGACGAAAACCCCCATATATATGCTATTATGATATAGTAGTTTCCATTTTTCCATTGTCCCTACATGACCCCAATAATTTCCCCTATAGCCAAGTTTCCGAAATGGATACCTGGAGCGTTCCTCCCAAATTGTCGAATCCTAGGCTCCGGGGAACGCCAGCCTGGCCGCAGGACTGGACATCAGACTCGCAAAGCTGCATTTCATTATCTGGGCTGCTGTTAAGGAACTTCAAGTAAATCATTATAGTAAGGAAACCCTGAATTTCTATACTATAGTAAGGAAACCCCTGGTTTCTTTACAATATACCCATATTGGTAACTTAATCTGAGCTCTTTAATTAATAGCAACCTAGTCTTTGGCAGAGCTTCCAGACAAACCACCGACCGCAAACGGCATACGCTGAACGGGTGGGGAAATGGGAATAGTGACCGTTGCCAGGATCACTTTGGTTGCACACATGGAAGTGCAATTTGCCAGCTGTTGAGCGTGGGGCTTCAGATTCAGATAAGGACAAAAGGTTTGGGACTGCTGGCGTGCTGCGTGCAGACTTGGGGGTTTCCCAAAATTCAGGGTACCTTTTTAGGGGTCCCAATAATAAGGACTATAGTATTCTAGGGTCTATATTGGTCCCCCTATTTTGGGAAACTACCACTTGTGTTCTGAGCTTAAGGTTCATGCTGCGCCTCGCGCGTGCATCAGGGCTTCAGGCTGTGGGTTGGAGGGATTTAAACCCTTGGTGGGCTTTAGTGTCTGAGGTTTGATAGTGCTTATAGTCCCCCTTAAGGAGATAGAATATAGGGTATATGGGGATCTTATGGTAATAGCCCAAGGCCATGTTTTATCTACTTAAGAGGGACTATAAGTTATGCTGGGGCTTGGGGTTGTGGGAGCTGACGACCGTCTAGGTTCCAGGTAGCTTAGGCTCCGAATTTGCGGGTACTATAGCATACTTTCTATCGTCTATTGTAGTATATTATAACTGTTTCTGGTATATTATGGTATATTCTAGATATTGTAGCATATAGGGGCCTTAGGATGTAGAGGTGTTCAAACGAGGAGCTTCAAGAGCCCTAAGCTCATGCGCAATCTGCACACCCAACTAACCCAAATCATTGTGACCAATCTGCGGGTCTGCCCATCATGGATTTCGGGCCTACTCATGTGAGCCATTGTCTAAACTCCTCGTATCCCCCTTCATAACCCTTATAGTAGTTCCCGATATAATTCCCTATATAGCCCCCCCCTTTAAGGAGTTTAAACTATAACTCATGTAGTCTGATGAAACATGTGGGGCAATCACCCAGTCTGCTTTCTGTAAAAATCCAATCCCTAGCTGATACTTTTGACTAAACCCCATGCCACATGCCTCATCCAGCGCAAATTGGAATGGGGCACCCCCCTCATTGAGCGCCCACAGCTTTCCCTCCGGAGTGAATCCTGCATGCTTGCCAGAACCCTTTAAGGACAACTCCTCATAGAGCAGACCAAGCTGCATCAAGTAGAGGCTGAAGGTAGCTCATTATATGATAGTACATGGCTTTCTCGCAGCTTTGGCATTTCCACGACGCGTGGTAGGTGGGGCAATAAGTCGCAGCATGCACTTTTGTAAGCCCTGGTCCTATGGCTGTATTCGCTGTGGACGCATTGAACCCTGGCTTCAGATCCGTGAGCTTCATCTTTTTGGGGACCTGAAGCACACGCAGCCTAGCACTTCTCAAATAGCATGTAAGGAAAGGCACAGACAAAAGTTGTTGTAGGATGATAAGCTGAACCGCAGCAAGCTGCCATGGTCAAGATTTTGAGGAGGCCCGCGAAACCATGGAATTCTCCGATCCGCGTGAACCATTCCTTGCCATAATACTTCTCGAAGAGGTATCGGTCTGTCTCCATAAACCTGCAGTGATATGTTGCCTGCCAGTGCATAGGGAAAACTTGGGCTGTCAAAGCCTTCCCCTACGCAGAGTGGCGCCATGCAATCCAGAAGATTGTGCGCCGCGCCTTGCCCTCGGCCACACGAACCTGCAGGCAACTTCAAATGGCATGATCTGAAACACATCTCAGAAAAGTGGAAACAGACACCTAAAGAATTTGCTACTCACAGCAAAGTTTGAGCTGGGCGTCTGAATGGACCATGCCATCCTCACCCAAAGACAACAAGCCCACATCGCCAAAATCTTTACTACCGCAAGCTGTGCATGAGGCAATCTAGAAAATGCGTGCCGCACTGAGGGTTCGTCTCCGTCAAACGCATGGGTGCGCTTCTTCGGTGGCCAATACTGGGCATTGGGGCCGACCCGCATATAAGCGCCAACCAGATCCTTTGCTCACCAAACAGTTGTGGATGGCCAGTTGCTTTGACAGTTAAGGTGGAAGGTGATGGCTCGAGAAAACTCAACAAACAATAAGTGACTACTGTACAACCGCCAAGTACATCAGCAAACCCTAAACCCTAAACCCCTAAACCCTAAACCCTAAACCCTAAACCCAAGGATCCGAGGGAGGGCTCCCTGACTTCACCGTGAGCGGAATATGCTCTGATTCTGTGACAGGGACCAAGGCACCTCCCAGCCTCAGGCAATAGGGTTATATTAGGGTTTAGGGTTTAGGGTTTAGGGTTTAGGGTGCTATTGGGGCTATATTAGGGTTACAATTGGGGTTATATTAGGGTTATAATTGGGGTTATATTAGGGTTACAATTGGGGTTATATTAGGGTTAAGTATCCTAAAACTGCAGGCAGAGTCCACAAACAAAGACAGTTGGCATAGCACATGACCTCTGACTGGCATACTGCTACAGCCACAAGCCGGCAGCGTCTATGGCTGGGTTCTTGCAGTTGGTCTGGCTGCATGCAAGTTGCGAGTTCGCCCACTTCAGTGAACTAGGCACATCCTGCAGCATGTCCAGAAGGCCATCGAAGCACGAAGTGAGCGCTCCTGAGGCAAAGCAGACCCACGGAGTAAGCAAGGACCCCAAAAATTGCTGGCCGCTGGAAAGAAACACCTTGACATGCTAAGGCAGTGCAGCCAAAGAGCTTCGTGCAGCAAGCATGGTCCCCTCTAGATGGATTTAAAAGATTTCAAACGGCTCCAGCACTCTTGAGCAACGTGCTGCGGGCCGATTAAGCTATGCAACAACATCGGTCAAAAGCAAGCTCGTCAAGTTTAAAGCCCCAAAAAAGGTTATGACTCCGCGAGGAGCGACTCCCCGAAGAGAAAACAAAGCTGCTTCGCTCCAAGTAACTTAAAACCCTAAACAACCCGTCCCAGATGCAGGTATACCTTTTCAGAGGTCGCTGGCTCTTATTGAGTTTAGGCTCATGAGTTATGGTGGCGCTGCTAGTATCTTGACTGGGTTGCGCATGAAAGGCCAGCAGAGCGCACAAGGAGTAGCCACGATAAAGCAGGGCTACATTCGCAAAGGGGGGCGAGGGGATTATACAAAAATAATAATGGAAAAGAACAAAGAAATTACGAATTAGGTTTGAAGATACTATCTTCAACCGGAAATGGTAGTTTCCATTTTTTCCATTATTGCAGTACGGAGATTATATAGTCCTTGGTCATGGCAAGCTGAGGTTGGCACAGGCTCTCTGAAAGCCGGTCGGTGTTGATTGAGCTGGACATGTCAAGCGATGACCTGCCTCAAGTAGGTACTTGTAGAATATTAGGGTTATATTGGGTTTATATAGGGATAATGGAAAAGAAAATGGATACTACCATTTAGGGTTTAGGGTTTAGGGTTTCCCAAAATTCGGGGTACCTTTTTGCGGGTCCCTATAATAAGGACTATAGTATTTTCGGGTCTATATTGGGGTACCCCTATTTTGGGAAACTACCATATAGTTTAGCTTGGGCCCCCAACCCACTAACTACCCACGAAAAAAGTGATCACCTATTCCTGGCATACCACTATTAGAGGGTGGGGGCCCAACCCAAGATATAGCACATTCAGGTAGGGTTTTGGGGATGTGGGTTTTCCATAATTAGGGGATAGGCCCCGACATGCTCATTATGAGGACCCACCAAGATGGACCACTCATGGTTGGAAATTCCTTGTATTGGCATAGAATACAGGTTTAAGGGATAAGGATAAGATTGATCCGAAAACACATATAGTCCCCCTTAAGTAGATAGAATATGGGTTATATGGGAATCCTATTATAATATACCCAAAACCATATTCTATCTACTTAAGGGGACCCTAAACCCTAAACCCTAAATAGTAGTTTCCATTTTCTTTTCCATTATCCCAATACAACCCCCATGTTCTATCTACTTAAGGGGGAATATACCCTGTTTTAATGTAGTAGTTTCCATTTTAACCCTCAGACCTCCACCTACCAGGTCGTCTCATCTTTTACTGCCATTATCCCGACCGGGAGTACGCCGAGGCAGCAGTCCAAGTGGAGGCACGCTGTTTTAACTTTAGGGTTTAGGGCTTAGGGTTTGGGGTTTTTGGGGTTTGGGGTTT